GTAAGTTTCTATGTAGTCGTATGTCGTCTTCGTCGAGGTCTTTTTCCAATACCGGGTAGCTCTCGTATTGTGCTGAATAGCGGCTCTGATCTATTGAGTCGTAGAGACATTTCAATTAAGTTATTGTCGTGTAACTTTTTGAAAATGTTTTGTCTATTTTCTAATCTATATTTGGTTAATTCTAAGCTATTAAGGTCTTATTCGAGACTTATGGTCGCACCAGATGAGTTAGGTCCTTGAGGTTAACTCATAGAATAATTTCGGATAGGGTACACCGTCTGCTCGTCACGCTATCTTATTTTCGGCCGGATAGATTCGTGCAACTTCTTAGTCTAATACTGATCTTATATCTACTAGTCTCAGGGTGTTTAACTAGTCTCTGCTAGGCTCAATAGATCTAGAGTATACTGGCTGAAGCTCTCTTGGAGAGGTAACTAATTTCTAAGTTAAATTCAAATCTCTCTGGTGCTGAAATTACAAGTAATTTCAGCACTTACAAATAAGTGGGTTGTTAGTTGGATGGATTACGATTGGTCAATATTAAATATTTTATAGTGGTAAAATATCTAATTTATCCAATAATAAAATGTATTTTAGAACAGGTTCCATCCATCCGGGGTTTACAGAGTTTAATAGAACTATCTTTAGTAGAGAAACTTAATTTAATGAACAAAAAGACTATTTCAATATGAGCATTTCCACAAACGGCACACAAGCTGTGAGATTCGGTGTTTCAATTTTAAAAAATTTGATTTTGATTCAGAGCTTTGTAATTCACAATTCATGTATATATGAAGAATTGTATACAGTTTTTATCTTGCCTCTTTAGTTTAAATTCATCAAAAAATCTTGTCGCAAGAAAATTTGAGTAAGTTACGCACACCTCAAAAAAATTGACTTAATTTTTTACGATGCTTTATCTGATTATTTTTCCAAATCAACATTTTATTTGATTTCTGTTTTGCATGCTTCAGATTCAACTTTACAAAATTAGTATTCAGTTTTTTCAAAAGTAGTTGATTTCCACTTTGTTGAGATCTAATTGAGTTATTAATTAAGATCTACATGCAACTTAAAACGAGTTTTTCACCAAATGGGTTGATTTCAAGTAGAAAAGGAAAAATGCCGATCTTGCTTAAAACTTCATCGGAATTAATCTGGTGCTATTTGTTTTGCAAAATTTGAGCCCAGAAATTTGCCCTAAAAATTATCTTTTTTGGCTTTGTTTAGTCAAACAAAAAAACTATTTGTTCACTTACAAACCAAATTATATCACTGCAAGCCTCTTATGTAGCCAACAAATTTTAGGAAGTACATTTTTTTCAGCTTTGTAAAAACATATCTAGTTTTGTTTGATAACCAAACAATGTAATTTTTGATTAAAAAAAAACAAAAAATAAATAAAAAAAAAACAAAAAATAAATAAAATTAAAATCTGTCGCTCCTAGGAGGATGCATCCTTCTTAAAATTTGTTGCGCTACATTTTGCAGTGATATAGTTTTGTCAGTAAATGAACAAATAGATCTAGAATAAAAGTTGATTGACAAAAGAAAGCCAAAAATGATCGTTTTAGAGCAATTTTTTTTGGGCCCGACTTTTGCAAAACAAGTTAAACCATTTTAATTCCATCAGAGTATTAAGTAAGATTGGTCTACAACATTTATTACCTTAAGCCAACCCATTTTGGGGAAAATGTGTTCTAAATTTCAACGTTATTCATTTTGGCCTGATTATTTATGTAGAAATTCAAAACGCGTTTTTCTCAAATTGGTTTGACTTGAGCTAGAAAGTGATAAGTCAAAACATGCTTAGAATTTTAGCAGAGTTGTTATTGTGCAATAATTAAAATTTTCGGAACCAGTAACTGCGAACTTCGGGCCCAAAATTTTAACAGAAAAAGGGATAACATTTGGTTTTTTCAGTCAACCAGAAATTACGCGAAAACTATTTCGTCAAATACTGATATAATTAAATCAAAGTGAATTTGTTACCTAACCCAGCAATTTTCAAGAAGCATATTTTCTCCAAAAAAGCCCAGACTGTTTTTAAAAAACTGTTTTCAAACAAAAAATTGGTTTTCTATATATTAAGAACGAACTTTTTTGTCTATCAACAAAAATGAGAAAATTATACATTGATTTGGTGAGTACACTCTTCTTAAAGTTTGAGATAACTATAATCTGACAATGTTAGTGATCGACTTAGTAATTTTGGCATGATTTTTGATTGACTAGAAAAATCCATTATTGGGGTAAAACCTTGAGCCCGAATTTTGCCAAGCATATGATTTCTGCTGAAACTCTAAGCAATTTTCATCCCTTTTTACCTAAACTCGACCCAATTTGAGAACAATGCGTTTTAAATTTTTATATAATTTAAATCAGCACTGTACTCGGCGCAGGTAATGCGAATGTAGATGTTAGAATTTCAAGAGCTAGAAACAATCTTTGCCCGGCGAATAAGACGCAAACCATTGAGACGACAACCGTTTTTGATGGAACTTCAAGACGGCATTACTCGCATTTCTCCACATTATATTTCTGAGAAATTTAAACCGCTCAAATTCGAACAGCTCATGTTACATTAAATAACTCTTTTTGTCATATTTAATAATTCTATCTGTCTTCTTAATGTCTTGTCGTCTTAATGGCTTGTCGTTTGTTTACCTAGCACCTTCTGGGGCAATCAGCAGCCGACCATTTGAGCTTATGCAATATTCAATTAAGAATCAGTAGCAGTCAACAAGAAGACAGTTGATACTTGGAAGTATTTTTTGGGAAGATTGTAAATCTGCTGATTTTGTAAGCGATTACTGAATAAATTCTTACAAAATTCCTCATGTATTTGTGCTGATTGAAAAGAAAATACAGTATTCACATTATTTATCTGCAAAAAACGGCAGGGTAATGCACTATATCAACTGACTTTTTGCTCTCTTTTCGGCGAGTTAGTTGATGGCTAAGGCTGATAAAGTTTCTTAATTGCCGCAAAAAGTCTCTAAATACTCTGCAATTCAGTTCCATGTAATTTTTTGTACGCTTCGTTGCTTATATTAAAGGCAATGCTTTTTTGCTAATACATTGTTTTTTAATTGTTTTTTGTTCTTCCAACGCATTGTCTTCTCTTATGATTTGCGATCAAGATTAGAATATAATCGACCGCTAATAATTAGTAAAAGATAGGACAATGTAGTCCGTCAAAACAGAATCACGAAAAAACCAGAAATGTTTCTAAAAATTCAATAATTTAGAAACATTCAATTAATTTAAAGAAAAGGTGAAAACATACAGTTTTGAACGTTTTATAGAGTTTGAATGTTTGTTTGAACTTTCCTGTTAATCAGTTCTTCTGTAATCATTGACCAGTATTTTGCAGTTTTTAATCGTTTTTTTTTTCAGAATTTAAATAATCTATTTTAGGTTTCATATAATTGATATCTGTAAATGCAACTGGGTATCTGCAATTGAAGTTTTTTAAGTGTTGTAGCAGTAAATCTATTTTTGTTGCTGTCGCTTTCCTCGATTTCAGGAGAGAAAATGGTTTTGCTAAAACAAGAAAAATTACTCAGTCACGATAAGATATTCGAGCAAAATTGTGTTGCTTTGAGGTATCATTTGCTATCTATTCTTGGGTGTCATTGTGATAAATGACGTTCGTTTTCTTGCTCTCAGTATAAAATAATTTTTATGAAGAACAATTTATTTTGAGCTGAGCTATTTTTATCTCCCAAGAACTCAATTTTAGACAGTAAGAGAAATCCACTGAAGTTATGTTGCATGAAGAGATGTTTTATTTGTCGGGTTTTTTACTAGGAATAAATGAAAATTTTTTTAACTCTGGCACTTTAATTTCCACTACACTATCGAGTGTAGTGTTTTAGAATGAGTATACATATTTCAAACCTAACTAGCTAATAGAAGTTCTCATTTGTGGCATTTTTGCTATAATCACGGCATGTAGAATTGAAAATTTCATAGCATCTTATCCCTGCTTTATTTATGGCTAGTCATAGTCGATTTTTGAGCGTCCGTGGTGGAAAGGGAAGAACACAAGACTCCCACTCTCGAGGTCGTAGCAAAATATTTTTTTACTAATTCGAGGTTTACATAAAATTTTTTTTATATTACTTCATAGAGCTACTTTTTTGTCATTTTCTCTCTAGTTTTTGATGGGAACTCAAAAAAATTCAAAAAATTGCTTGCATTAATGGGATACAACACGAACTATCGAGAAAAAACGAATTAAGTGGGTAATTTGCAATGAAATTTTTTTTAAACGCTTGTATCTAGTTTATGTTCTGTCGTTCAAAGGAGATGTCCTTTTTGAACCAAGTGTTGTTTTTAAACCATGTTAAGACATACTGAATTAGTTAAGGCTGAATAAATTAAAAGAAGTTCCAAAAATACAGTGCTATTTCAATTTATTTAGGGAAAATTTCATACAGTTTTTTTTATAGATGTCTAAGTTTTGTCAAAAACATTGAACACAAAAATGCAATGTTTGTTTCGCAACCTGTAAACAAAAATCGGAGCAAAATCTAGCGTAAAAGTCCGTTGATGGCGTGATTTGTTCAAAAACATCAAAATTACATCGCAAAACTTTGTCGTTATTTATTTTCAATTATTGGAGCAAAAATTGGCACAAAACGTCTCAGCTGTTACTACATCATATGACAACAGTCATTTATTCATATGACAACAGTTTTCTCTCTTTTTTTTCGAAAATTTTTCAAAATTTTTATCAAAATTGTTTGTTTATTTTGTTTATTTTGTTTATTTTAAAACAATAGCTAGTTATTGTTTTCGGTTGTGGGCTATTTTTAGCTGTTGTGTGATTTTTTTAAGTCGGCCAGGAAGAGCCAACGTATTTCATAACATTTTTCATGATTGGTTGAAGATCTGCTATTTTTCAGAAAGCCAAAGAAGTTGTTGAAAGATTCAATTTGTTTTCTCAGTTTTATGATTGTCAACTTCACGAAAACAAAAGTAAGTTTTCCCCAATAAATACATTCTTGTGGAAGTTTGTGAGTTTCGATCAACACCTATGCTGCTGAAGCGATCCAGATTAAATTTTCAAATATTAGCTAGTTTCTATGTGACACGCTACAAAAGCTGTTCCGCAACAGGAGGAGGATGTGTAACACATATCCAAGGCTGTTCGTCGCACATTATATTTAATTTAAACCACTCAAAAGTAAGTTGATCTTTAATGTTGTTATAAGGGAAAAAGTGAAACATTTTGTTGTTTCCTTCATTTAGTAAAAAAAATGCGTTGTGATATTCGCCGAAGATAACCAATTCTCCAGTTCCGAAGCCAACTTCTGATATAAGGTTGACGCAAAGGTTCCTGTTGAAGTGGGCCTGAAACAACCGACAGAGTTACCACTATTTATTAAAAAAAAGTGAGCAGCAATGCGCTTTAAATTGAATTATACGTTTTGTTTCTCTGCTTAAATGTTTGCAGCTGTCTGAACATCTACTCCTTAAAATGTTAAAAAAACGTATTTGAACAAGGAAAAAGTTTGACTGTTTGTAATCTTTCTAGAAAAAATAACCTTCAAAGAAGTTGAAACAACTTGATAAGTATTCCCTGGTCATATGTGCTCTGATCCTGTCATTAGATCTGGTTCACATTTTTGTGCTCTTGCAACAATTGTGGTAAAGAGTCTTTGTTTATTAACATACAATTTTTTTACGACTGTTGGGCATCGTATAGAGATTTGTTATTGCCAAACTGAAGGAAACACTCCCAGCGAAAAAAAAAACGGATTTTGCTTACATGATTTCGCTTATAAAAATTCGTTTCGAAGTTTTATTTTTGATTACTAAATCTGGATAACTTTCTTACAATCTCTTTAAATGAAATATTTTCGATAAATTAGCCCAGACTATCTTGCGCGTTAATAATTCCAAATTACCGGAAATTTTTAAAACTGGAAACTGAGAGTTTCAAAAAAACGTTCGTTAATAAAATATCTTTTTAAATTTAAATTGAATTAAAAGGTCAAAATTTATTTGAGGAAAAAATCAATAAGACCAGATTTATCTCATGCTATTATCAAAAACAAGGTCGTGCGTTCTAATATATTTCATTGTCGGAACAAAATGCGCACAAAATTGTAATTTAGGCTGGAAAGAAAGGGCTACAAAAGAAAAAAAAACTGGCACGGCCTAGGTAATCAATGCGAATATATTGAAAACATCGAAAAATTTTACTTTACAGAAGTTCGATACGTCTCATACTTATATTGAGTCGATACGAACCAAATTCAAAGTCCGATACAGAAGTTCGATACGCTTCATAATGATGTGTATGAAAACTTAATGGTTGTCAATTCTCATATATATATACATATATATCTTCTGTTTGCTTAAAGAATGGAAGATTACCTTTATAAAATTAAGTTTTTTGTTTCTACTGGAGAAATCAGTAACTTCATTCATGTAACTGTCAGGAGATAAGCCTCGTTCCATGCCAAATTTTCTGTAGGAACCCAACTGGGACAAACAACAAGTTCCTTCCTCTGAAATACAACAAACAAAATTTCGCTGATTTGAAAAACCCCTCGTCGCAGAAGAGCCAAATACCCGAATCATAACCAATCATAGTTCAATTTTCCTAAACTGAAATGATAAAATTGGAAAAATAGTTATTTTTGGACAATTTAGGGGACTTGATTTCATCAACAATTTGTGCACATCCAGGCCTTTACTCTTGAGAAAAACATGCAAATAAGTTGTCTGTTTTTTGGAAATTGTCACTGTTAGAAATGGTGCGCAGCCACAGGCATTTGAAGTTGAAGTTAAAAATGTGGTCCTAAGTTCACCAGATAGTTCAGTTTCACATCTTTAAATTGCGAGAACTTTTGAAAATTAGCATGAAATAGAAAAATAGAAAGTGCATACACGAAATTTATGCTCAAGCTTCCTATGTTTTTTTTTCTAAAAGAAAATCAACAAATTAATTGATTAATTGCTACGCGGGAAAATATTTCCCTTAAATGAAGCTCACAAAAAATTGAAAAGGAAACTTCTCTGAAGTCTAGAAAAGTATTCTCACATAACAAATAACCCAAAATCTGGAACGTGATTGCGTTTTAACAGTTTTTTTCAGGCTAAAAATAGCAAAAAAAATTGCGAAGTATCGAATATTTTTAAAACAAATCATTCATTATGTATAAACCTATGAAAAGAAACTATTTGTGGGTCAGTTGAAAAAAATGGACCATTCTCGCACATTTGGACGACCCTAGGTTTCTAGTTTTACACTATCGAAAATTAGGAAATATCTCAGCTGTAGCTGTTATCGTGTAATGAAATCAAAAACCGGATCAAGACTGCTCATATCAGGTGAATGTTCCGACTGCCTCAATGTTCCGACTGCCTTTTAAGGTCTATGGAGCAGTAATATCATGGAAAGTTAAAATGTGATTAATTAAAATTGAATTATTTTTCTTAAAAAATTTGAGATTTTTTGTGAATACATCTCTCCACACGCCATATAAAGTACAAAACAATAAATTTCGCTCCTTGTAACAAATCAATTATGGCAAATAAGCTTCTTTCAACCAATTTGAAACGATTTGTTTCTTTCGTTAATTGTCCGAAACTGGCGAAAATGGCAATTTTTAAACCCCCATTACTTTACAAAAACTGATCACAGGTGAAAGATCTGTGCAAATTCAAACTCAGGACAACTATACCTTTTGAATGTTATAAAAATATTTATCAAAAATGGCTAGTTAAGAAGTCGAAATTTGTCTGAAGAAAAAAACCACCCGAGCACTGATATTCTGTTAATTGTCTTAAGAATGTCGGATTTTATTGACTCAATCGTTCTCCAAAATGTTCATCGTGATGTCGTCCATCTGGCCATGAAAATGTCAAAAAGATATGTGCAAATGAGTAGTTGCAGATGCGAGTTTTACGATGATTACTCTAAAAAATAAAAAAACTCACCCCTGACAAAAACATATGAGATTGAAAACCAGTTGATGTGTCTGTATACTCTGCTGATTAGCTCAATGAAGTTGAAATAGTCGTCATCCTCTTCCGATCGTTCACTCTTAATTGCATTGATCACCTTACCCATGAAGCAAAAGCGAGTGCTAAAAACGAAACGTTTTTTTTTTGTTTATTTTGCTTCAAATAGTTTATAAAAAGGCGGGAATGGACATTTTTTTAAAATCAGCCTAAAGTTTGTTAGATTTAATACCAAAATAACTTTAACTAGGAAAAAAAAATCAGGCGCGTAATTGCCGGGGTCCCCTAGAACATTTTTAATAGCCTTTCTAAAGAGTTTCTGAAAAGCGCCTTCAATAAGGCAGATCAAAAACACTGACTTCAAATAATCACTTTGATACCAAGTGAACAATCTGGAAACTTTCCAGGGTTGAAAAAAATGCCTATCATACAATTTCCCACTATGAAAAGAATTCTTATCATTCAGTTTCATACTCCTTCATAGATAAAAGAATAGTTTGAAAATAGCAGACAAATGTTTGTTCCATACTATGAAATTGTAAAGTAAGCTCTTTTTTTCATATTTTGATATTTAATAACCAAATTTTGCCAAATTTTTATCACAAAAATTTTTAAAAAATAGCAAAAAAAGTTGTTGTTCTACTAAAATGTACGATAAGCAATTTTTCAATGCTATAAATTGTATGAGAAAAATTTAATCTATATATCAATCTAAAAAAAATTTTCTGTTTCAAAATTTTTTTGTTTCATTCGAACTAAGGAATTAGTGTCATGAAAATTTCAGAGAGTAAGTGATTACCATGAAGATAAATCGCATTTGGTTTTTTATTCGAGTAGCCGTGTCAGTTATTGCTAAAGTTTTCATGCTTAGAAATTTTTTCTTTGAAAATTTCGATATTTGAGAAAAAAGGGTCTGATTTATATTTATCTTGGCATATGAGAACAAAACAATTTTTTTCATAAAAACGTCAGCTTGCGTTTTTTTTTGATATTTTTTTGGGGGAGAAATTTAAACTGTGTTATGTTGTAGAAATAAAAACTCAAATTTTGCATGCATATTTTTTCTTAAAATGTATATTCGAAAACAGACATTTGTTTGCAGCCCAAAATGGGATTAAAAAACTATAGTTGCAAATAGTATTTTTTCTATTTAAAAAAGCATAATATTTATACTTTTTGCCCAACTTGCTCCCATGTAACCGAAACTACCATCAATTTATTTTTTTTGTGTTTTAAATTAAATTAGGCTGATTTTCAGAAAAAAATCGATTAAAAAACACTTCTCAAGTCACTTTCTTCTACAAAAAATCTAAGACAACCATTTTTTTCCATAAACTTTGTATATGAAACAAAACGTTTTTTGAAAAACATCAATCCGGGACATCAATTTAGGATTGAAAGCCTGCACCTGTTTAAAACCTGCTCCAGTCTTTTCCACTCTGTCATTCGGCCGGCTGGGCATGAATTATTATTATGTATCCATATTTATATACAGTTATTCAGAGACCAGATGGATGGTACTGACTGGTATAAAATATCAGATGGCCAAGCAATACCGTTCAGTTGGTGTCGAATTCAGATTTATCTTTAGTTACTTTTCTTAATCAGAGTTATTTAGTTATCGATGGCCAATCCGTTCGGATTCTTGAAAAGCTCATACATTACGGTATGACGTGGCGCAGCCAGTAGGATATATGAACCCGCTGAGTTTTTGACTATTTTGGCAGAAGGCATCAGTAGAACCACTACAGGAAAAATCAAAACGGGCGGCTATGATGGAAATGGCTGTGTTTGCTAAAGATGGGACAGAGGTAAGATTTTTGGTAAGAACAAAAGCTCCAGTGTTAGAACTAAGTGAACCAACTTACGAGGTTGAAATCACTGGAGAATTAGAAGCACAAAAACGTAATAGAGATATCAGAAACCATTAAAAAGGAGTCACTTAGGAAGGAAACGTGATAAAAAGCAGAGACAAGGGTGTGCTGTGCAACAATGTACCCTGCGATAAATTGGACGCCAAGGTAAGAAGCTACATAATCTCATTCCTGGGAGCAGAGGAGCATCGACAATTGCAACAAACCAAGCTTCGATATCCAAACTTCAACTACAAAAAAACTAATGCGAATCCTGGAATATATATTCGTAGTCACAAGACTTATAGCTTTTGAACGATACAAAGTCATGTGTCGGAAGCAACGCAAAAACTAGATGCTGGAGCATTTTCACAAGGACTTGGTAGAATCGGTTTCACGGGCCGACTATGGAGATTAGGAGGTTGAATGGGTCCGCAACATGTTCACCGCAAATTGCAGAAAAACTGTTGGCAGAAACTAAATTTTGCAGGACGCGGACGAAACCGCAATCAGGAGAGAGAAAGGAATAGAAAATAGTAAGGCGATAAAAACAAATACGTTTGGAGCATCAGCAACCACAACCACCAGAGTTAAACAGGAAACTATGGCTTATTTTCAACCACGCGGAACAGGTGGCAATCCAAACGGATACCAAAACAACCAAAAGGGCCGGTAAACCTCCCAGGACGGTACAATTTTTCCCGGGGACATTTTTAATCGCGTGGTCAAAAAAATCAGCAGATGGGCCAAAACAAACCGTGTTAAAAATGTGGCAGGCAATTTGGACCCAAACATTTACAGTAATGCTCAGCAAAAGACAAAATCTGCACAGAATGCGCTAAACGCGGGCATTTTCAAAAGTAAGCAGATCAAAAAATGTTAACTATTTGCAAGAGACCGGAAGAAGTCAAAAGGAAGATGAAGAGGAAGATTCCGTTGATATCAAGGACAAAAACGATCCAGTGGCGTATGCCGAATTCATGTCATCAAATGGCATGGGGGAAACGCCGCAGGACAATTTTACCGCTTTGACGATATCAGAAGGGCTTATTACACGAAACTCAGTAAACATACAAGAAGAAGACTTAAATGGTCATATTGTGAAACTAAAAACAAAATCAGAAAAAATAGTGGAATCATGAAAAAATGGCAAAAAGACTTTTGGCTCCGCGATATTCCAACTCATCTCACCGGCGGACTCCGCCCGAATTCTTGCCTGTTATAACGGAATTTTTGTTCTTCCAAAAGGACGCCTGATCAATGCGGTGGAATTCTGAGGTTGAACGATCCAATCGGCCCCGTTCATCATTACGGTTGATCAAAAAGCATCAAAAAGCAGCAAAGTATCATCGGGTGGAACATTCTACCGAAAATTGGCATCAAACTGATACAAGACAAACCAAACCACAACCAGATTATAAACATAACTGAAAAAGATGAAGCATCAGACGAGGAAAAAAACTGAATTAATGAGAACTTCTGACAAGTCTGCGTGCAAATCGGAATTCCAAAAAACCACGTAATGCGAACTCAATATATACAAGACGTCAAACATATTCAACAAAAAGGCCGAAGAATACCCATTCATCTACAAGAACGAGTAAAAACTGAACTAAACAAACTAATAGATCAAAAACTCTTAAAAAAACTAGACAATTGTTGAGACAAGCAATTAACCAGCCCAATCGTCATAACAATTAAAAACGATCAGACGGTAAAACTCGCATTAGACTCCAAAAAAATTAACAAGTTGATACGCATAGTTGAATACCAAATGCCCAGTATCGAGCTGTTGTTGGATAAAATTGCACAAAAACCATCTGGACGGACAAACACCAGGAAAATCGTTTCTCGACTGTCGATCTACGTTATGAGTATTCACAAATCTCCCTGGATATTGAAACTAAGAACCAATGCAGTTTCAGCTTCATAAGGGGAAAAGCTACAGGAACATACCAGTTCCCAACGGGATTTTATGGCCTCAAGGATATGCTAGTTGACATTCAAAAAGCTATCAATCTTAAACAAACAAACTGTGAAAACCCATTTGATTATATTGATGGCATATTGATTGTGGCAATAGTTTCAAAATATATGCACAAACAGTCGTTACAAAAGGGTTTACGAAATTAAGTGACAAAACTTGACGATAAAAGCGAAGTCGCTTGTGAGCAAATCGAGTGGCTCAGCTACACGATAAAAAACGCCCAATGCACAATGCCGCTATTACGAAAAAAAGGGCAATACTGAAGCTCTCTACAGCAAAAACATTTAAACAACTGAAAAGATTCATAGGGTCAATACATCATCTCACCAGATACGTTTCAAGCATCGCAAAAACAGCATCCACATTGAAACCACTGCAATGAAAACTCAGACAAACATGAAATATTAGATTGGAAGCCGGAACATACACATACATCCGCATTCCATAATATTGTTAAACTCGTATCTAAAAATTGAAAATGAAAGTTTCAAGCAAAACCTAGTAACCCGGGTAGTCCTTGACGCATCTAAATTTGGGCTAGGAGCTGCCTCAGAACAAAACACTGAGAAAAAATGTGTAGCAATCGCAAACGCCTCAAGGTTCTTAAGTTCACTAGAAGAGAAATATTCAGTTAACGAGTTAAAACTATTAGGAGTCGTATGAGCAATTGAACACTTCAAATACCACTTATACCCGAAGAACCTTACAGTCATCACACACCATCAAGTGCTAATCAGCGCATTAAACGCCAGCGAACGATCAAAAACTTGCCATGTCAAAGTAGACTCACTAGGTGGATTAATAATTCAACCTCATTTACATTTGACATCAACACTTGGCACGAACAAAAAATGGGACTATTCGACTATATGTAATAATTAAAAAATGGGACTATTCGACTATATAGAAATCCAGTAGAAATAGCTGTGAGTATAATAAGTGTAAGTAACTAGTGAGTATAAGAAAGAATTTGTTGTAGCGTCAATTAACTCGTTCATTTCCAATCTTGAAATGATTGACAACGGCATATTAAACAAACTAGCCAATCAGAGTCAAGCCCCAAATCGGCTGACCAAAATGCGCACGGAAGTTAAAAGGATTGCAACAGCTCAATTGAAATCTCAAGTGAACTTCAAACATTTCAAAGTTATCACAAGTGGCCGTTCAATTCAGAAAAAAATATTCACTTAAACAACTTCAGACTCAAAGTTCAGTAAATTTTATCTCAACGCCGGAAATCAACCCTCAAATCATGAGACAACGAGATGAGACAAAAGGCTACAAG